TCTCTAAAAAGTCTCGCTCGCTTCTTTGCAGTCTCGCTCGCTTGGTATAATTTCCTTTTCTGCAAGGAATTTTCCTACTTTTTTGTGGCTTTATTGTTTCCTCTCTGCCTCATGAAAATACGCTGGACTTTGGCCCGAAGGTTCTGGTTGCGGCAACAGCTCCAGCCATTTCTCTCAGAGCTGCAGGCAGCCGCTCCTTTTTTGCTTTTTATCCGCCACTTCTACTCACACATATACTCCTAGCGTGTACATACAGAGTTCAGCTGACTCTACAGACAAACAAATCAAACAGGAATTTAAGTTTTAGCACATTTACACAACTTAGGAAAACTAAAACAGTCTCCAGTTGGGAATTTCTATCTTGCTCTTCAATGTTTGCATTGGATTTGAAAGACGCCAAGCCACATAGCATCTTTGGGGCAAGAGACATTACTACATTAACTCTAAAGCACTCTAAACAGAAAGCCTTTGTTAGTTCTTGCTTCTTTCCACAGCTGACTGACTTGCTGCATTGCCACTGTGAGCTTGCACTAAAAGGATTGAGAAGGTTTTCAGCCCTGTCCCACAGCCTTTTCTAAAATCCATACCTTGAAGCCTTTCCTCAGCTAAAACATTGCGTTAGCTCATACGCACCATGCTGATCCACAAGGGTCTGGATGTAGCAATACGTGGAATTAGACAAATATTTGTACGATGTCTGCAGCCCTGTTAGATCAAGGAAGGCAGGCACTCCTTTAGAGTCTTACTAAAGGAGTAAAAGATGCAGAAATCCTTCAGAGTTCATTTTCTTAGTAAATGAAGAAGAGACCAACATATACCGAAAACTCCCCTGCAAATGGGTGACAAACCCTCCCTGTAACAACAGGGTGATATTAAGATACAGAAAAACATTTTTTAACATCAAAGAATTTAGGGCATGTTTCCCTGCTCCCAAACTCCTTAAAACGATAAAAGCCCCAGAAAGCATATTGTGAATTCAGTGTTTTATATCTATGCAGTGAGTTCTCACCTCTTTCTCTCCCCATTACAAACTAGCCAGAGTAATGCATTAATTTTAATAGGGTAAAGAAGTGAGAAGGTGAAATTAAAGAAGAGATTCTATGAAAATCTGCTTTAGTTTAGCACAACAGCCCAAACCAATCCAAAGAACAGCCACAGCTTAAATCAGAGGCAGCAGGTTCTTCCAAGGAAAGCATGCTGGTTTTGGCTGGGGTAGAGTTAATTTTCTTCATGATAGCTAGTATGGGGCTTTTTTTTTTTTTTGGATTTGTGCTGAAAACAGTGTTGATAATACAGAGATGTTTTTCATTATCGCTGAGCAGTGCTTACACAGAGTCAAGGCCTCTTCTGCTTCTCACCCCACCCCACCAGCGAGTAGGCTGGGGGTGCACAAGAAGCTGGGAGGGGACACAGCCGGGACAGCTGACCCCAACTGACCAAAGGGATATTCCATACCATATGATGTCATGCTCAGCATATAAAGCTGGGGGAAGAATGAAGGAGGGGGGACATTCGGAGCGATGGCATTTGTCTTCCCAAGTAACCGTTACGCGTGATGGAGCCCTGCTTTCCTGGAGATGGCTGAACACCTGCCTGCCGATGAGAAGTAGTGTTATCTCAACCCACAAGTTTTCTCACTTTTCCCCTTCCAATTCTCTCCCCCACCCCGCCGGGGGGGAGTGAGCAAGCGGCTGTGTGGTACTTAGTTGCTGGCTGGGGTTAAACCATGACAGAAAGCCACCGCAGAGAGTCTGCAGCACCCTTTCCCCTTCTCACTTGAGCATGTTTCCTCAAGAAAAGCAGGGCTGTGGCAAGGGAGGAGGTACCCAGCCAGTTCAGGGACAAGCTGGGTCTGACAAGTTTAAAGTGATTTCTAGCAGCGACAACAGCACCAGGCAAAACAGAGTGATTGCCCATACTGGGGATTTCAGAAAAGCAGCAGTTGCAAGGATCGCCCAAGCCACTAGCTGATGCATTGCCAATAGATCAAATCTTAACCAATGTTTTTAAATAACTGATGAGGGGACAGTGACAGACTGTATCCATTCCACTAAGGAAACTAAGGGGAAAGAGTGACTTTAATGAAGACCATGGATGATTCCTATAACTGAACCACCCTTTAAGGTGCTGCACCTTAAGGAAGCTGATCTTCTACTGCACCTATCCAGAAGTCCAGGTCAGTTTAACAAACCAGCAGAGGAAAAGATTCCGATGATAAAAATACTTCTACGACTAGAAGTAGTCTTGCATGAGCAGGGAAGTCTGTACTAAAATTCAGCAGCCTTGCAGCACATTCAGAAAAGCTGTTCTGCACATCTGCAGCTAACCCAGATCCCTCTGACCATCCCTCGGGCCACCTACCACATAATCATGCACAGCACATCCAGTTCAACAAACAGAGATCATTAATTTAATTGTCGTCTTGTATTTCAGTGACCCTCTACTACTTCTCCTGAGGGCCAGATTCATCTATTACACACACGGGCAGATAGTATATGTACAAACAGCTTAATATATGTATTTTTCTTATAATAGATCATAGCGTCTTTTTTTACTCTATTAGCTCTTTTTTTTCATCACTTCTCTGGAGCTGTATCAGGGTGGAAAATTATATCAACCAATAATACATGAAATCCAAACATTTAAAGCAGTCTGTTCTTTAAATTTCAGTATTGCCTTAATAAACATAATGTAAATTTATGAAAGCTATTTGAATTTAACAAATGGACTCTCTCTCTCTTATGATGATATCATTCTGCAAGGTTTCAAAGGTAGTATGTTTTGTTGCCAACTGTTGTTTTTGTTTCGCAAACAGAATTGGAAGAGCTTGGAATGCCCATTTCATCTTTCAAACTAAGTTAACCATAAAACTGCACCTGGAAGGAAAACACTCTTCAGAAGTTTTTAAATACTTTAAACTCTGTTTCAAGAGACCTCCAGTGCCAATTCAAAAGTTCCCTGCCAAACTCTTAAGGTCCTGCATGTATTATGTGAACAGGTGTCTGTTAACAGAGTGACATTGATGTGGAATGTCAAGGGGTTTTATTTCTTTTTAAAATAAAAACGCTAAAAGCAACTTTTGAGTGATTATTAAACAAATCCCAATTGTGGTACAATATCAAAGCACAATGTTACAAGTCACTACAGGACAAGACTCTACAGGCCTGTGTAACACGGCAGAAAAATTATTTCAATGTCGTAAACACTATAAAATTGCTCTGGATGTTTCCAAATCTAGGCTACAGAGGCAGTTTTAGGATCTATCAGAGCGCTCAGATTTTATCTGCAGGAAGAACACGCATTTACCATCTGCACTGAGAAGCGCATGAAGAAACTGAGATGGTCTTGGCTCCACCAGGAGTACACAATCCTCATCACGCAACATACCAATTTACTTTCCAGGAACTGGCAACAAGAAGAAGGATAGCTGCACCCCTACAAAATCAGTCCAAGACGGTCCTAAGAGGCAATTTTCAAGTTACTTCTGCTGCTTAAAAAAACGTTCATGTTATTTGAAAGTCAGCTACAAGGTAGTAACTCCAGATATGAAAATTTGTACTTTTGGCTTCAGAAGCACTTATAACTTTCAGGCATTGTTCCCCCCCTTTTGTTACCAATGAAGAAGCTACTATTGTCCAAGAAGTTGTTCGTGACAGTCCAGTAGTTAACTGTCCACACAAAAGGCCACCTTTCTGCAGGCTATGCTTGGAGAAACACGTGGCACTTGCTTACTGAGGAGTTGTCCAGCATAACAGGCTGCACAGAAAGCCTCATAGTAAAAGCCAACCAGTCAAGCAGATAAAGTCACTTCTGCCACTTCACAGCATCTACAAGAAATGGGATTATGACTGACAGGCTTAATTTAACTGAAACCATAAGGTAAAGAGGCCACCTGAGGGAGAAAGATTGTTGGATCAGGCCGATAGGCAGCAAAAGACAAGTCACCATGACCAGATCTGTGGTCAGTGTGGGGTCACACCTGCAAACCACCGCATTACTCACAACAAAAAGCAGTAGCTGCGCTGTTCGCTGCCTTCCAAAGGCACATATATACACCAATATACACACAAGCAATTAACTCTCCAATTACTACCAGGAATTAAATCCCACAAGAATATGGGAAGTTTCTGGTGTCTAGTTTTCAATAGGGAATAAGGTATTAGTATGATTTCCAACATTCATCAGCCTGAGACACACACAAGCTGAAGACAGAGCTGTGACCTGCCAGTCACCGATCAAGTTTAATCTTAACAGAAGTCACATTAACCATATGCTGCCTCCTCCTAAACAAAGCCCCCTCCAGAATGCTCTGATTGGCTGTTCCCCTGCCTTCCTGGGATAAGGAGGATATTTTCAGTTTGATTAGGAGCATGTTCTTCTCCTTCCCCCACAAACTAAGTTTTCTTCTCAATTCCTAGTGTACAGGAACTGTTCTAATTCTTGAGAGCTTCTAAGTGACAGTAAGCTGCTGTTGGGAATGCAACCTGGCTGCAAGCTATTATCAAGTCATCCTCAGGGCTTTGGTTTGATTATTTTAATAAGCACAGCCTTCTATCGCTATAACCCATTTTAGACTATAGCGATGCCTTTGCCAACATCCTCTGTACCCAGCAGAGTACTCCCCCCCCCCAAAAAAAAAAAAAAAATCTATCTGGATGGAGTCCCCTGACTTAAGGGCATAAGCCATAAGCAGCTTTGCAACTGGAAAGCACAGCCACGCAGGTGAAGCTTATTTTTCAGAAGAGATCAGGTAATTCAGCTCTCCACTCTTTCCTACATCTATCCCAACCCTTTCATCCTGCCCGGTTGCCCAACAGCATTTAAAACACACAACGCTACTTCAGGCATGGTTTAGGTCAATCATTACACAGCGCAAGTATCAGTTATCCCTATTGTACAGTATCGGCCTTTGAGAATAAGTTAAAACCCCAGAAATTTACAGGTTTTCATGAAATTTACACCCGGTGGCTTCACATAAACTACGGGGCCTGAAAAAAGGCAAAGCCCGACAGCGAAGCGGCACGGGGAAAGGCAGAAATAAAACAGCGGTGCCTGAAACGGGCTGTCCCCCATCACAGATAAAACCCGGCGGGTGGACGGAGCCGGCTCCGAGTGGCGATGCGCACACAAGGGCCTGGTGCGGAGCCCGACGCTCTCACAGGGGGCCGGGCCGGGGGGGGGACCCTCATGGCCCGCGGCACTCCCGCCAGCGGGCCACGGAGAGGGATT